AGAAGATTCCCAAAGTCGAGTCCATGTATATGTGATCATATCTTAAGGATTGACATTTGAGAATAATTACTGATCACATAAAATAAGAGATTTACTACGTACACACCTAGCAAAGTTTTATGTGATCAGATGGATTGTAGCAAAAAAGAAAAAAGATGGATTATAGCCTGCAGGCTGCCTAAAGTAAATGCCGTTTGCAGAACAGTTATTGAGGTGGTCCTGATTAATTAGCAATTTGGTGAAGTCTGACTATATTTAAGCAAATAATCAAATAATATTATGTACCCCAATTTTCCAACTGGTTGTGGATTGGTATTTACATTTCATTAAATTCAATGGGTAATGGGGGACGAACCTGCCCCTTTTTTCAAATTTTTTCCGTTATGGGTATTAATAATAAATTGGCAGGATATCAGGCGCGATTCACAGATCTCTTTACACACTTCTAATCATGTTCAAAGGGAAATGAAGCCACTAATTTGCATTCTTCTTCTTTTGCTATTAGCGTGTTGCATTCTTTACTTGTTTTCACGTAGTACAGTTCAGATATCAGAGAAGGAAATTCTTGTTTTTGGCTGGAAAAACTCATCAGCCATGATGACTTTCATGTGTACATTTTTTTTCTTCGCCAGAATATGACTTTGATATACATTATTGAATCGTAATCTAATTACGAAATACAAGAGAAACTTCCATATAAAAAATTCACATATTTCTATATTTTCATTGGCATCTCTATTATTTAGTTACCTCCATTAAATTATATTCTATGATTATTATGTCCTAGTATTGTGACTGTAAAAAAATTCGAATTAGAATTAAGAAGGTAAGTTGGGAATTCCCCACGAATTAAGCGTTAAAAAAGGAAGATATAAACCCTATTATTATTACAAATAGGAAGGATGGTGCCCCATACTCATCTACTAGTGACCAAATAGAATAAGTCGAGTCTTGCATGCATAATTAATTTTAAGGAAGGTGTATAAGAACGTAACTTTGAGAGTAACACCACCATTAACAGTTCAATGCATCTCTGATGAGGTGTATTCCTTTGGGCCTCACATATTTTTAGTAATTGCAATGCGTAATAAAACTTAATGCTAAGTATATATAATCTTTCAATTAAGCACGACTTCCATATTCACCATGGTGCATGCACCAGGTATAATATGACAAATAAAGTCGGTGCTACTATATGTTTTCCGTTCCAAATATAATTTGGGTCGGGAGAAATTAATTAAATCCAAATCAGATCATAATGATGATGGAAATCCCACGCTAGACTAACTCAGTCCAAAATATAATTACAGAAATACCCCATTTGGATAAAGGGCCACCCACCCCTTAAGGATACGTGTACCGTGGAATGAGTGATATCAGTCATTGGGTGATTCAGATGTTGTTTAATTAAGTCCTTTCGAGTGCGACCATGGACGGTGACTTTGTAACAACTGTTCAGTCTTAAACCCCAAATCCCACTTCTCTCTCCCTCCCTCCCTTCTTCTCTCTGTGCTTCGGCCCTTTCGGAATCAGCACCGTTATATTCTGATAGGTCCCTGTCATTATTTCAGGGGCGAAATCTCATCTGGGTTTTGATCTGGAGGAAGGGGTTGTGCATTTTTCCATTGGGCCGAGTCCTCACTTGCAATAGATGCTCGAGAGATTATTGTTTGTGGAGGGATTTATACATGTTAAAGGTGTTTGGGTTGAAATCAACCGTGTTTATGGCAGTGGTGAGCATAGGACTGCTGGTGCTGCCGTTGGTGTTGCCGCCGCTGTCTCCGCCGCCGATGGTGCTCATGTTGGTGCCCGTTTTGATAATCTCACTTCTGGTGATGCTGGCGTTCTTTCCTTCGCGTTGTCCCGACATGGTTTTCTCGTCGTCCGTCTAGCCCGCGGCTCTTCTCCCTCCAGGTAGCACCATGCACGCACTTAACACTTGGGTCTGTATATTTGCGTGTTTAACCGGTTAGCTTTTCATAAGTGTAAATGCTGAACTTGAATCCGGATGCTAGAATCAACACTTTATGTCATGATGTTTTAGTTAATGTTCTGATTAGTTAGCTTTTCTTTGATTTAATTTGTTGCGCAATCGAATTGCTGAGCCTATCTGGAGGCTGGCCATTTAATGTTTAAGAGAGAGTTGATGAATGGGTAGGTAGCGTAATGAGTTCTGCAAAATGCTCAATGAGAACGAAAACGAGAACTAGTGAGGGACAAAAAAGAAAAAAGAGAATGAGTAACCGATTTCGCCATGCAACAAAGTGCGAAGAATATAGAAAGTACTCTACGTCTTGCATTATGAATGGGGTTAAAAAAGGAACAAGTTTGCAAGTGATAGATGGTGAGATAGCAGTGTGAAGCAGAATATGCAGAAAAGGGAGTAAGAAAGAGAGAAAGGGGAGGGGCATGAAATTAAATTTCCAAGGCGAAGACGGAGAGAACGAGGAAAGACAGTGGAAATTGAAGCGAGAGGGGGGGAGGGGACACGTAGAAGGAGGACTGGGAATTCCGAGGGAAGGGAAAGGCGGAGCCATGCAAGCCAATGAAGGAAACATATATGAAAGGCTACTTCTTCATCTGCATCTATCTGCCATAACCATTCATGCTCCCTCCTTTTCCTTATGTTTCGACACTTATCTTCCCTTATTTATTTATGCACTCCCCGAGAGGGCAAGTCAGCATTAGAAAAAGTGTTCTGTGAAGAAAAAGCATTGCTTTAAAATTGCCTTACGTTGTAAACTGCTCTTTCCTATGTTCTTTCTTTCTTTTTTTTTTTTTTTTAACAATGTGGTCTAAAATTGTTTTATAAGTGCCATGTAAAATGCATTGCTATTCATAAAATTGGGCCTAGCAGAATGAAGTAATCTCTTACAACAATATAATGAATTGAAGTTCTTCAAATCTTTACTAAGAGATGTGTCTATATTTAATGTGAAATATAAGATGTTTCTACTTAATTAAAAATGCATTGCTTTAAAATATGCTTTCTATATGTTCACAATGAGACTACATAGGGAACCAAGCTGCATATTCACACCCTTCACAGCAACGCAAAAAAAAAAAAAAAAAAAAAAAAGGAAAGAAAACGAAAGGTAAGCCTCGTTTGATAAGGGAAGCCAATTATTAAGCCTGGCTATTTAATTTCTTCAATGGCTCCAACATTCAAAAGGCCTTTGATGTATATTTGAAAATAATAATAATATTTAGTTTTCTGATTTCTTTTTTTTTTTTAATGGCCACGTCTATAAAGGAGCAGAGAAGAAAGAGATGCTATAATGCCAGATTCTAACATTAATATTATTCTAGAATATATGTAGATGCTCTTCAGAAGAGATCTACTTAGCTAAATGTCTTGTTAAGTTTGTTTTAATGTTTTGATTTGAAATGCGCTTGGTCAAATATGGTCCCAATAAAGAAGGCAAAAAGGAAATCCAAATTGAAAAGCAATTAGCGATTCCTTATTAGGGGGAGAGCAAGTGCATGAATAATACTTAAGCACTAATCCTCAATCGCCATTAATGTAGGTTGTCTAATTAAGTCAGGAAAATTGATTGACTTTTTGGTTTCCTCACTTGGACACTTAAGCATTAATCCTCATTATTTCAATATTTAATATAAATCACTTGTAATATATTCTCTAATATTAAAGGATGCATTAAATTAATAAAAACTTTAATAAAGTTTTTTTTTTTAGTTTTTATGATTACAAATGGTTTTCATATCTCTCACGTCTATTCTTTCTTTTCTTTTCATCTCTCTAATGAGAATTAAATAAAAGTAAAATTCGCATTAAAAAATGAAATAAGAGTAAAATTAAAAAAATAAATATTAAATATATTATAAATGACTTACATTTTATAACTAATTTAAAATAGAAATGGCATGAAATTAAAAAAAAAAAAAAAACTCTATCATCAAGTGGCCTTGCCGGAATTTAGCGGACCCACGTGTACGGGCGCCTTTGATCGTTTTTGTGGTGTTAAGTCACTCGCCATCGTCGTCTCCGTTACCTTAGCTTTCAACACTCTCCTTGCTATCACCGTTGCCGCCGCCAATATTTCACATTTGTTTTATTCTTAAAAACCCTATCATTTTCAAACAAATTTGTCTCCATAAAAGTATTGAACTATTAAGCCGCAATGTTTGTTTAAATTTTTGTGTCGTTCAAATGCTACGATGCTTTCATTAACATTCACTATACGCTAATAAGCAAACACATGCTTGCTTCATTGTTTTTTTGGGGGAAAAAAAATACATACACTTACTCCGCTCCTTATTGTTGTGTTTTTTAAAGGAAGTATTCAAATTATTTTTGGTATATAACTATTTTACAATGATAGTGAAATAGAGTAAAAATTAATATGATATTAGAGTTTAGTGGAGTTAATAAAAATAATATTAAAAAATCTCTTTTTTCTTGCCAACAATATTAAAAATCTCTGAAATTTTATGATAAATTTATTTTTTGCCAGATGATAAATTTAATGTTTTAATTATTTTTATTGGTATGTATCAATTTGTTAAAAGTGACTCATATTTAGATTGCTGACTAAATGAATATGCCTTTTGTTTCTATATATGAGTAACATTCTCTTAGCCTTATATAAGTAACACTTTCAATTTGTTTAAAAATTTAGTACATTTTTCCTTTTATTTTTATCCCAATTAATTACACGTCTCACAGTCCATTTATTCTCTCTCTCTCTCTCACTCATTTATCTACATTCACTCATCATCTTCATAAATAAAAATAAGTTTTTTTTTTTTCAAAAAATCACATCTTCACAATAGTTGTTACTTTTAACTCGTACATTTTGATCTACCGACTTAGTTGTAGAGGAGTATTGTACAAACTAATTTTATAACATCAGAATCTCACATCTATCCTTACCATCCGATATAATGCAGAATATGTTTGGTACCAGATTTTCTTTGGCACTATACAAATTATACTTTTTTTTTTTTTGCCAACACTATACAAATGATACTCTAAATAATAATTTCAAAATAACATAAACCTTTGTTATTGCATCTCCTTTCCTATTACACGCCACAAATGACCTATGATATCTTTTTCCACAAATTACACCTAACATCAAAAGGACGCATTATATTGAATATTAAAGTTGAAATCGTTCTTAACGTCAAAATTTGACGACTAGTCTTGAAGAAACGCATTATCATTTTTTGTTAAAATAATATTTAAGATCAGATTAGAAAAAAATTACAACAAACCTATAAATAATTAGCACAAAATCCCCGAATTGGAATAGGAAAACGCAAAATGGAATATCGGGGTATACATGGGCACCGGATTCAAGCCACCAAATGTTATATTCACTAAAAAAGGTGATTCACCGACGATTTCTGCCACCCCTGCCCCTGCCCCTGCCTCTGCCCCTTCCCCTTCCCCTTCCCCTTCCTTGACCGAAACTGGAATTGTCTGGCTTAAGCCCCAATGATTGAACTCCCCTTCTCTTGCGAGGTTGGTCTTCTTCGTCTTCCTTGTACTTGGATGAGCTTTTAGTGGTAAAAGTAATCTCTCGTGAACCTCCAGGACCCATCTTCACACCATCCCGCATCGCAGAAGACCTTTCGCCGTCTTTCAGAGTGGCTAGTCTATCTCCAATTGGAAGCGAGTCCTCCTCTGCAAGGGACTTCTGCTTCCAGAATGCCTCCGCATGTAACTCGTTCTTGATTTCATACATTCTGCATGTTATGAGAAAATATTCAAATATCAAAATGTCCTAAAATCCGATACATCACTGCCCATTTAACCTCATAAAAGAGGGAAATTCTAACAAGTCTCCTATGCGTTCTCACCTTGGGACCTGAGGTTTAGATTTCAGTCGATTTGCAGATTCGTCTTCTAATGAGGCTGACCCATCAGAATCACTTGAACTCTGCTCTTCATCAGACATGACAGGTTCGAAATGCTCCTTCAGTAAGGAACTTTGCTTCTTAGAAGATGCCATGGGATGTAAAGCCAAATATTCTTGTGAGGAAGGATTAATCTCATAATCCTGAAACACGCATAGAATAAAGCACCTGTCAGAAGTTATAGTGTCTAATTTAAAACCAAATGGATCATAAACAAAACCATAGAATCAAGCCAACGTCCAACAACGGGCCTTCAGATATGATTATTATACTGCAGCTGAATATTCTATTATAAAACTTCTGGATTGATAGGATCAATAACAACTTTGAATATGACTAATGTATGTTTAACAGAAAAACCAAAATCCACTGGAAACGAGTAATCAGATTCAACCGAGACACAAGGAGATGTCAAGAGTGAACCTTGTTCGTAAACATTGCAGCAAATCGGTCATCTTTAAGATCCTGCATACTAATGCTCTTCTTTTTCTTAGAAACCTTTTTAGCTTCATCATCAACAGCATCCTTTTCATTTTCAGCTTCTTCACTTTCAAGAAGGCGAGCTGCAAGGGCCCGATTAACTTTTGGTAATTTTCTCCTAATCTGCAGGGAAAACAAATAATAGAGGCTAAGGAATTGCCGAGGATTCAAATGACTATTCAGCTTCCAATACAAACCACTTTATCACCTTAAACATGGAAACAACAAATCACGAAACTGCTTCACAACCAAAAGCTGTCCCCAAAACAACACACGCAATACATCCAAGAAATGCACGTTTTTAATCAATCGAATTATGTTTGATTGAAAATAAGCATCATATAGAGGAGCAAAACAAAAACAATGGTGTATTGAAATAGCTTATTTCATCTTCTCCTCAGAGACATGATGAGAAAGCAACAAAACACAGGGATTCAATTTTTAACCGAATCTAAGTCTGCAAGATCACATGAAAATTATATCCACCAAGCAGAGAAAATCACATTAAAGCAGGATTTGAATTTTTTTTTTTTTTTGGGGGGGGGGGGCGCTTTTCATAGAATTAGAAGAATCAAAGATATCAACCGTTATCCGTGATGCGCGTTCAGCTTCCAGTTTTTCTTGCTTCTGCTGTTCAATATATGATTCATACTCAAAAGGATCTGCCAGTGCTTTTGCCTACAAGAGAGTTATTACACCATATGAGAGGACAAACACATGAGAACTAGAAATCTCAAATAAAATTAACTTCTACATGAATAAGATTGTTGATAACCATTACTTCTACCAATCAAGGCAAAAATAGCTAATGTGACACAATATGATTGAGAAAAGGATTATGTTCAGGAGATAATTAGAAAACAAGGAGGAAAAAGAAAAATCTAGGCTGCAAATGAATGGTCTTGTCCTCAACCAACTGAACAAGCCATCAAATTACCGTAGTGACCCCAGAGTGGAATCCAAGTGAAATCACCTTCTTCACATAATACCCTTCTCAACTAAGTCCCAGGGATGAATTTCATTCTAGGATACAACAAGAGTTTTTAGCTTTAAAAATTTAGTCTTGAGAACTTTTAGAACCTGGTGTTTTTAATTAAAATATAGCAGCACACGTCAATTTCCCAGACTTCTCTATATTTTCACAAGGGTACCCCTCTTATAGAACACAAGCACAAGCTCAAAGTTCATTCAATGTCCTGTCTCCCTGACCTAACTACAACTAGCTTAAATTTCATTGGGTGTCATCACATTCAAGCTTTTTCTTTTGGCAAAAATTACATCCCACAACCATGGTATCAGAAATAATATGACCTTTGAAACACGACCTATATGAAGCTTGCTCCAATCAACACTTCCATGTTAGAACATAAAGAATGGAGAACAATTCTTTTCCATTGAGTTCATAAAAGAGAATTACTATCTGTTCACAATTTAATATTATCAATATAGTAATGCCCACAAAATGAGGAAAACATTCAGTCAGTTTCACAATAGAAGAAAAATCAAGGTCTCTGTATCACACTGCTGGGAAAAAATGGGGAAAAATTCAGTCATGTTCCCACCAGAAGAAAAATACCAAGCATGTAGACAACGAAGTAAAAGCAAAACTGAGAAGGAAAACCCACCTTTTTGTATAATGAATAATTAATAAAGAAGCCATGCATGTAGGCTCTGAGTAGATTGGTACCAATCAAGTTGGTCAAATTTAACCTCTCAAGTTCTTCTTTTGTCAAAAATTGATAATAATCATAAATAGTTGCTTGTCCAGCCATATCTAGCTCCTCCTGTTCAATAAGCATAATGTCAAAGGATGAGCACCATCATAAATAGCTAAATGATAGATCACTTCACTATAAATTAAAACATCAACAACATACCGTAAAATTTTCTAGGGATGAGCACCATTTGGGAGCAGGTCCAAGGGCTGGTATAAAGTAAGATGGTATTTGGCTGCAGTCTAAGGCCAGCAGGATCAAGCCACTGCCACTAAATGTACATACATCATTTATTATTCCCGCTGTTGGTTCAATGCTGGTCATGCCTTCTCCCTGAAATCAATGATTAAATTCAACCTCATGATAAATTGAAGACTAAAACAATACCTCACAAAACCTATTACCTACTAGTACTACATTTTTTTAAGAGCATAGCAACCTCATCAGAAGAATGTAAGGTTGTGCATAGGTGCTCTGAGACAAGAATTTGCAAAATCAAATTATTCATAAAACTTCTGGAAAGATAAAAGTAATGCCATTCAGTATTTCCTTACCAACTGAGCAGGTATACTGATAATTTCTTATATAACACAGATTTATTGATCAGAAAATACAAGACACAGAACTGGAAGGACAGCTTTACCGATTCAGGATCCCATATTCTAACAACATGCTTATCACTGGTAATTAACTTTGGTCGTTCATAATTAAGAGTATGATGCCACTTAATATCCAATATGGCACTTCCATACCTGCACAAGACATTTTTTTTTTCAAGCAACATTAATAAAAGAAATAATTAAAATCAGTAAAAATTCAAACACAAGCATGTTCACTTACATGTGATCCTTAATTTGTACAGGATGCGATGAGCGCAAGTCATAGATGAGCACCTGCATGCATGTTTAAGGGGAAAAAATTTAAAAACAAGAAATGAAACGAAACGAAAGCTTACCCATGAAGACTCAGAATAAAGGGCAAAATTTTTACATCCTAATATGTAAATAACCGTTCAAATTTAGCTGTTTAATTTCAAAGAAACATGCACAGCAACAATCTAAACACGGAATAGAGTTGTATTTAACCAAAAATCACATACAAATAGTTGAAAATGCTAGGAACAGTGTTATAACTTGAGCAGTGTTTTTCTTCAAGTCATATTTCTGTTAACCATACATGTCAAACATGGGCTGGGAGCAGATTCTACTGCCAAACATTCATTTAAAGTCGGAGCATAATTTGCACATAGTGAAGCATTAGGTTTGTTGTCTGAGAGATTCTGAGCAAGAATGGAATTATTGCTTCGTTCTAAATTATTGCCAGTCTTCATATCAGGTTAGCTGTTTCGTTTAATGTTCAGGCAGTTTGTAGTTCGACAATTGTACGCACAAGTAAGTTTTTGTCAAGGTTTTCCATAAAAGGATGATACAAATTTCACTAAATACGATGCAAATATCACAGCAATGGCATGACTATAATGATTTTACACCGTACCTTCCCTGCACTGCTTCCAACAGCCATTAAATAACCTCCATCATCAAACTCTATTGCAGTGACCTCCTACAATATATTCAAAAAGACTTGGCAATAAAAATATCAATTATGCACGAAAACCTTCAGAAACTTTTAGAACCTTATCAGCACAAACATGATATTTGACTAATAAGGAACACTTTTCACTGGCACATTCGAAGTTACTGAAAAAAGAACACTATTATTGTATGCTTGCAACAATCGTCTTTCCCTAAACTTGTATGGGCAACAATAAAAGAGAGAAACCACTACCTGGTCAACATCACCACTTGGTCCAGTGGCATCGATTCTGCCAATTGAAGATCTCTCTCGCACGTCAAAACATTCCACAGCACCATCTTCACCGCCACAGGCAACTAGACCATGAAACTTGCTAAAATACAGAGGAAGTTGAAGCTTCAAAAGCTTAACACCAGGAACAAGAATAAAAGATACATCCCTCTCATAACTGAAGGAAACAAAGAGTGGTAGCATAATGATAATTTCCACAAATTACCTTCGAGATACTACATTCAAAGCTGGGGATTGAGTGGAAAGGGAGGGAAGAAATCGTCCCTGATAGATCAGAGATGTCATCAAAATGCACGCGTCAACAAGCTAGTCCATAACTTCGACATTAAAATTCTAAATTACATTTCTTTTTTGAGACAAACAAATTGTCAGACGGAAAAATGCAAAATCATTAAACGGGACATGGACAACTGCTTCCAATGTGTAACAACTTATAGCTAAATGACAAAGGAAAATTCATAAAATGCAATTCAAACAATGGAGTGAGGATTCAAGCATAAGTATCTAATAACTTCTACATTGAACAAATTTTCGGAGGCATCCTCTTGCTACAAATGATGTGTCCATAACAGGAAATTATATGCTAAATACCTGCTGTAAATTGATTCTGTATAAATCTGGTGAAGAGGCAGCACAAAGCAAGTCACAGGACCAGCAATCATAAGCAATATCCCTACCCATCCTGTAAAGTTGAAACATTATTAAAATCCGCTACAATTCTCACAAAAGAAACTGAATATACATGAATCAATGCACAGAGGGCAGCATTAAAAAAAATTTCTCAGAGATCTGTGATAATAATTTAATTTCAAAAACCTTCCAAGTATAGTGACGTGGGAAGCAGTCTGACTGCAGAGTCTCGGACCCAAAATAAGATACTAATTGTAGAAACATCCATTAGGCACATCCGTTAGGCACTGAAGCAATAAACATCAAAGATAAAGAGGAAACCTTGGTATTCGCAAACTATAGTGTTTTCCATATTTGGCGTGAAGACAAACCGATCGATCAGCACACAAAAATGCAAGTTTTGAATAGTCATCGCTTAAAACCTACATAAGCAACAATATGCTCAATTATCAATATAAAACAATTTTAAAATAGGCAGAAAAATACATACACTAACCTTGCTGGACCACCGAAATTATGAATCAATAACAGATGAAAAGAAATTACAAATCAATATAAATTAAGAAACAAAAGTAAAAGAGCAATTATCGAAAGAAAATTAATTAGATAATGAAAAATGAGAACTGCATCGGAGCAAGTCTCCCTGTAAATAAATTTCAAAGAAGAGATGCCATGAAAACAAAACATTTTCAAGGAAAATAGCCAGAGCTAAATAAGTTTGCCTCTTGTATGTTTCAAATTGGGAATAACATGAAAGCCAAAGCACTCAAGCTACCAACGAAATATACAAAATTCAGGGAACCATGGTCAATCCAACGGATACATATAAGAATCCTTATAACGCTTGGGATATGAAGACATAGGGAGGGAAATGAAGATACGTAAGTTATAAGTATAATTATAATTCAATAACAGGTATTGCAATAGTTCAAGAACAATGTAAGGATGAATTCTTCTAATGCATGAAAGATTACAATAAAAAACCTAGGGTTAAGGGGCTGACTAGCTGAGTGAATTTTGAAACAGATCAGATCTTTAAAAACATAGAACTAACAGAAAACAAAGAATTAACAGCACTAGGGAAAAAATGAAAAGTTTACATGCAGCATACATTGCACAAAAAGTAAAATACATTGAAGAGGATCAATACCCCAAGACATTAGCTTTATAAAATAAAACCAGTTTCAATACCTGAAAATCGACAATCTCAGAATCTAGGTGCCTTTCAAACTTCAACCCAAGCTCCCTAACCTCGTATACTTTTACTTGAGGTGGATATATACCTAAAATATAAAATTACATCAACATTATTTATCAGTTTCTAAATTGATTTTTTTAAAAAAAAAATTATTTCCATTAATTTTATCGAACACTAAAAATGCGTTTCATAGCTGACGGTCATACAATATTGTAACCTTGTGACTCATTTGCTGGACAACCAACCATGCCAAGAATCCCTAAATAATGAAGAATAAACCTCTAATGCAACGTTGAATCCCAGAATCAAGTATAAATGCAATCCAATTTTTTTTTTTTTTGGGAAAAAAAAAGAGCGGCCACATGAAATTTGTATAAAATTACTATCTCATCTCCACCCCCTTGCTCGCCAACCTAACCACTTGACCCAAGGACGCACACGAATTTGAAGTACCTGATGCTATGATATACTCCCCATCAGGAGTTGCCTTAATTTTAGTTGTTGCATTATCAAATCTCAAATCTTGCAGCAGTTGCACATTTTCCGTGTAACCTAATAAACATAAACAAGTAGATGATTAAAACAAAACAGTAAACAAAATCTTAAATAATTAATGATATTAAATACAGTAAGCAAAAAGACGATAATTTTTTTTTTTTGGCCATCAACAAAAAGACAATTGTAAGAAAGTAACAAACACAAACATATTTATTTAAAAGAACGTCCGAATACAAAATTTGTTGACAGTGCTTTTCTTCTAATGCCCAAATATATTTCATTGATGAAAAATGCACTAAGTAAATAAGATAAAATAACTACAGTACAATATCATTCACCATCAAAATCGGCAATCTTATGCAGAGAATGTGCATAGTCTGATAATGTCACTCCTACTTATTATTCAATCAATTGAGCTTATATGCACTTAAGGATGCCTAGTTTGTCACATCCTGAAATCCCCTTGACTGTCAGTAACTACTCTTTCACAGGCTCCTGTTATTTTCCTTAGCTACTACCATTTTTGCGGAACACTTTTTCACTTGGAGTTCAATGTAGCAGCAGGGCACAGCAAAAAGCTATTTGAACCGAAGATTAGAGAGTAATAACAAAATAAAACATGACTAGACAAAGTTCGAGAAATATAAAATTGTGAAATTTACAAGAAATAATGACAGTGGATTACTCTTTATCTTCCGATGAGACTTCTGCTTCTTGGAAGGAAGCCATGAAGCACGTGAGGGTTGCTGGGATGCTATAGTATACAACTTAACGCCGTTTATTGAGGTGGCCTTGATACCACCATCTCGGGTCGCCATTGTTGCTTATCTCCGTAAGAGGATGAGTTTTTCCCGCTTAATCTCCCGAGACGAATATGGATCACTTTCCTCTTCGTTGTTAATAACTGCGAAGACAGCCGCTTTTTCTCTGAGACTCGTGATCTTCGGATGATGAGAGGCTCGCAGAAGAACGTAGAAATTTTTGGAGAACAGAGGGATATGACTGGGCAGCTCGAGGAGGCTGTACAGGTCTTCTCCTAACGTGCAGCAGAGGCCAGCGGCTATTATCAGTTTCCCGCGTAACTTGCTGCAGAGGAGCAGCGAAGAAGGACCAAACACAACGGTGTTGATGATGCAGGAGCCCCATACATGAAAACCTAGAGTTCAGTCGCCGACATGTACCAGCTCATTGCTAGTCTTTTTTTTTTTTTTTTGGCCCACGCACTATGCAAGTATTATCATTAACATTGTATATTTGTAATTACCGTAGGAAAATATTTTTTAATTTTTTATCATTAATTAAAAAGGACCTAATTTATTTTTATCCTAATTCTTTTTTTAGCTGATATTTTTATCCCAATTCATTTTGTAACTGAGAAATAACACTTGCTCCTAATATTTTAATTTTTATATTGTAAAATTTTCTCATTATAATTGTAATTCAATAAAAAAGCATATCAAATCTATAAAATTAAGTACATATATCTTCTTCGTTTTATCTGAATGAAATGTATATAATTTTCTAAATTTTGTTCCTTTTTTTGCCAACATCTAAATTTTTATTTTAATTTATAGTAGTATTAAATATAAGAAAAAATTTCCAAAAAAATCTCTAATTCCAAGTCCTAAATCAGAACCAACTCTAAAAATTTATTGTCATTTTGCTTTTTTGCAAAGTACAGTAATTTTTGTAATTTTAAAATCCAAGAGACATTTTTTTAGATTTTTTCTAAACAAAATTTTTCACTTACGACGAATTGGGCCCTTGATCTAGCCCAACCATTCAACCGAAAGAGGAAAATGCCAAAAAGGCTCCTTGAGTTTTTGGACAATAAACCCTAGTCCCTGGTTAGAGCTGGAAACCGCCGATTATTCCGCTCCCATTTATTTGGTTTTGTGATTTTGTCTCAAGTTTGCCACTGCTTCATAAGCGTTGAGGACTTCGGCAATGACGCGGCCTTATGTTGTGAAGGACCGGAAGCGAAAGAAGAAGGAGAAGTACGATGCCGAAGAAGATGAAGAAGCGGAAGCAATGGAAGTAGTGAAGAGAGCGAATTCAAACCCTCTTGAGGAAGAAAAGACCGCGGAAGAAGCACAAGACGCGGCGGCGGCAGAGGAACTTGAAGGTATTCCTATAGCGCCAAGTGACCGCAACACTGACCAGTCTAAAGTTATATTTGTTCTCGAAAGGGCTTCTTTGGAAGTCGCCAAAGTTGGTAAGGTATTCATTCGCTGTCCAAGTTTGTTGTCTTTCTTCCGGTTTGTGGTCGTTCAATTTTTTTCGTTCTTAATTTCGTTCAATAGCTACGAGTTGGCATTTTTATGTAACATCCAATACTTTCCAGATAGAGCAACACTCGAGTACATTGCTTGAAGCTATGTTATAGTCTTCCATTCCTCTGATTTGCTTTATTTCTGCAGAGTTACCAGATTTTGAATTCGGACGACCATTCCAATTTCTTGCGTAAACATAACAGGAATCCTGCTGATTACAGGCCGGACATCGTTCATCAGGTTTGTGGAGGCCTTTTTCCCCAACCGTACGAAGCCATATATTGGTTACATTTTAATCACTCGTATTTTCATGTATAAGTTGGTTCCATCCGTTGTTTTTGCATTTCCACTTCTTTCTCTTCATGACCTTTTTCTCCCTCCTCAAGTTAGCCGCAATGGTATTCTTGTATTTCCTTTTTATTTCCAATCTCATGTTATATTAAATCATTCTTTCAGGCCCTTCTAATGATTTTGGATAGCCCACTAAACAAAGCAGGAAGAGTGAAAGCTGTGTATGTAAGAACTGAAAAGGGTGTTCTTTTTGAGGTCAAACCCCATGTTCGCATACCAAGAACTTTCAAGCGGTTCTCTGGTGTCATGTGTAAGTCTAGCTAACTTTTTTTCCCCTGCACTAGTGTCGCGTGATGGTGATTCGTGCTTTTGTCTTTGTTTCTGAAGACCAAAGTTCTCATTTGCTGCTTTGAAATTTTACCACTTTGCAGTGCAATTGCTTCAGAAATTGAGCATAACCGCTGTTGGTAAGCGTGAGAAACTTCTCCGCGTGATCAAAAACCCTGTAACCCAGCATTTACCATTAGACTCGCGTAAAATAAGTGAGTTTCTCTAATGATTTAACTGTTATATATTGATATAATATTTACTCGAGAGGAGTAACTTAGTGGCAGATACACTTGCCGAAGAACATTTATGTAATATTTACATATTTTAATTGACTAATTTGCTTGATAGGTCTCTCATACAGTTCACAAAAGCTGGTAGATATGAATGACTATGTGACAACGATCCCTACCAATATGAACCCCGTGTTTGTGGTAATCTCAGAAGTTCAACTCCTGATATTGTTAAAATTGCATCTCAGACTTTTTATTTATCTCACTAATTCTAAGACATCTAAATTCAGGTAGGTGCTATGGCCCATGGAAAGATTGAGCCAGATTATACGGATGAATTCATTGCAAGTACGTTCAGCCATCTACGCTCTTATACTTTCCATTCTTATTAGTAATTGTATACATACGCATAATATTTTATTTCCATTAAATTTCCTTTTGTCAATGCACGTGAACACTCAACTGATATCTGTCTTCCCCGACGTATGAACTTTAATCCTTGGCATGTTGGACTTGGTATTTGTAAGTTTTTGTTATCACTCGTGAATAACATAAGTTCATTGCTGATGTTCAAAGTTTTCTGGCAAAATTTTGTAATCACTGACTTTGAGTTTCATTAAATGTAGAGGTCAGAAACCCGATTTCCCTTCATCTTCCTCAAAATTGAAAAAATATAAATCGATTTGTTTTTAAAGGCAAAGTTTAACACTACAAAATACAGGGACACGAACAACCAGAACTCTATCAGAGTTATTTTTTTAGGCAAACATTTGTGTGTTTGAGCCCGAAAGGCTGTGTTGAGGCTTGAGTTAGTTAAATGTCTTGATCTCAGGAATAGACCCCTAATTCCGTCTCAGCTTCTTTTCCTTAAAATAAAATCGTTGTATATAGAGACTGGTGATCATACTGAAAATGCAGAATGAGTGAACTTCTCCATATACGAGTTGTTTGACATGCACCACCCGTTAGATATTTATTAGTTTCTAACCACGTCTTCTTTCTTAACTGCAGTTTCTGGCTACCCTCTAAGTGCTGCATATTGTCTTACTAGGATTTGTGCTGCCCTCGAAGGAAAATGGAAGATCTTGTGAGCTTCAGCTTTATCGATTCATACTTTAAATGCAATTACTGACTTGAGTGGTCCGTGTGTAAATTGTAGGGGAGGGAACCTGGCCGCGAATAGCAATTAGCCAATCATGCACCAGACCAGACTTGGTCTCTAAAGGCTTAGGGGCTTTCTTGGACTATTTACCATAGCACCTACATATTGATTACTGATTGATTATGGAATGATGTTATAGTTTGATTACACGTGTCCCTCGTGCATTTGAATAGATGATTGGCGTTTCGACATTTTTCATCCCAGGTTTTGATACGAGTATGTGAAATAAACTTGTAAGATCATAATTGATTATTTACGCGAGTTGACAAATCTTCTACTTGCGGCTTGAAACGGATGGGTTGGAACTTTTTGGGTTTTCTTTTGCGAGTTAAAACATCGAAATCAATCCTGTGCGAACGACACATGTAATGCTTTTTCCTTTCTGTGGGGGTACAAAACACTGGTAGAAACTTTTTAACGGGGAAGGTTGATCTGCAAATATGACGCCACCCATACTTGTCAATTGGGCCGCTGTTCAAGATTTTTAATTCGCATCAGTCTGCTACCTCGGTATTCGGCCCAAAAAAATTTTCCTGCTAGATCTGTCATTTTTTTATGTTTTAAAATTTTTAATTTCATCTTATTTACTTTCCTTCTGCGGATTATGAACTATTTTTTAAAAAAATTTTATTGTTTATACAAGAATAATTTTAATTTAACTTGATATTTTATTTGTTATTTGGTACATTTATACTCGTTATAAAAATTCTTAAATGTGCTAGTTCCAAATTTGATTCAACTGAACCTGCCCAGTGGGCTACTTCAAGTGAACTTTCTTTTGCATGTCCTCACTCGAGGGGGTTCGGTAAAAAGAATAGAGCATTTTTCATTACATGAAATATCAACGAGGGTTAGTTTAAGTGGTAAGCGACTTGGTAAAGTGAGGTCTCGAGTTCGAGTCTCAGCGTATGATCCCTGTTGGGAGATTCATCCACTACAGCCAGGTGCACGACGCGGGTCGTATCCAGATGTAGTCAGAATAAAGTTCCGGTAAATTAGGTGGGCAATCAAAAAAAATGTTGTGCGTATTATGTTATATTTTTGTTGCAATTATTTAACAGATATTTTTAATGTCCCCCCCCCCCCCCAGATAGCACTCATTTCAAGTAAATAGGAAAAGAGCAGCATAAGTAATTTTAATTTTATACGTGCGACGTTGATTCTCACAGAGAGTGACCCTTTACCTCAAAATAAAAGAACGCAGATCATGAGACACATAAAGTGCAGGAAAGCATCAAGTATGGCTTCTTTAATTCAAAAGGTGTATTCTTGCCTCACCGTGACGCCTTAACCACTTCAAAGTCATCATTTCAAGTAATAAAAGCCAAAAAAACAGAGCGAGGTGTTTGTTACAGGCTTTCTTGCTGATGACACTTGATGATGAAAGATTCTTTCTAATTATTACGTGCCTTTGACTTAAGCACAGGATTATCATCATCATCATCATCGGTTATTTTCGTTCCTACAAGTTCTTCAGAATTTCTTGCTTCTTCTTCTACTTTATGCGGTGGTGATGATGCCACTCCTGCATCACTTGTTTCAATGTTAATATCAGTTAATCTTCTCTTACTCAAGCACTAATTACAGTCGTCATGCTCAATGTGTGTGTGTGATTCTCAGCTGATACAGCATATGATTAGTTCTTCCCCAAAAAAAAGAAAGTACATGATTAGTCATTTCGGCGGAATTTAACAGCACATGAACAGATTCAAGACTAATCCGGGCTTAGTAAGAGAGAAAGGGGACCATCTCTTTTCAAGTTCTGTCATCAAAATTCTGTTTATAAAAGTTGTAATCTAATCTGCTGTGAGTTTTAGATTATAGTTGGTGGCAGATATAATATTACAGTAATTAAGTTTGAATGTTTTGCAATTATAAGAGAAGCCTACGCTGTGTATTTGATGAGAAATAAACTGACTTAGGTTGCAAGAATAATAATATTAAAACAGACAAAATGAATGTTGAGAATTATGTTTTTTTTATAAAAAAAATACACCTTGAACTTTATATTGCGTCTATATTTGCAGGCGGTATACAAGAGAATTATAAGGCTAAAGCCTTACATGCATTAAGACTTGTATGTATGAGTATGATGCAAGTTAAAAGGAACAAAGGCATCGTGATACTAAACTACAGTGTGTGTGTGTGTGTGTACATTAAAAATATTTAGAGGTGGATAAGAGTGTCCCTATAGCATTACATAGAGCCACCAAAGCTCACATTGCCCCAGCCGGCCTCCTTAAGGGCACATATGATGGACAGATGGAGTGGGTTGTTTTCCTTTTTGGAGTTCTGGTTCACAGCCTATTTACTTTTAAAACATATATTATTAATGTCACACACGTTGATCCCAAAATATTAAGCAAAGAACTCGAATAAAGTAATCCCAAAAAAAGATTTGGTGCATGAACCCAGTAGGAGTGGTGCATAGTCGCAAAACATAAAAAACATAACAGTATATTCCTGGGTTAGGTGTTTGTTGTTCACGTTTTGATTAGTTGGAATATTCGAAGGTCTCATGGGCCACCCATTAAATATGCAACATTTAAGGAAGACACAAATTTAGTTTACAATTCATCTATATTTCTTCTAAATCGATACACTATCAGAATATACATTGAATAATTCAATCAGAACTCAAACTCTCTCTCTCTCTCACAGATATATATATTCTCTATATATTTAACAGATTAAGTGTGTTAACTACTGTAGATATGGGATCGATGAGGCTGGTGATGATGAGTCAGCAGATAATTTAAAAATAAACGAAGTAGTGTGTGTGGCCACCAAAAACCAGTATGTGTCGAGTGAATCAGTTTTGGGGATGAAGTTGGATGAGGAAGCAGAAGAATATTTTCAGAATGAGGGAGTAGTAAAGGAGGAAGATGAAGAGGGAAGGTGACCCACAATGGCCGGCAGGAATTATGACATAGAAAAACCCATAATTTTGTAGTGAAAGATGCTTTTATTTTTTTTTATTTGTTCTCTGGGAATGAGGGACATTAGTTGATTAGAGGGTTGCAGTACCAATCCACATCCACTTCTTTCTTCAAACTCATCCACATTTGGACTGTACGTACCCTCATAGGGTTCTCTTTGTCCTCCCTCACTTTTCGTTCTTGCGGGTTCCACTCATTCATGCCCACTTTAAAAGTCTTGCTATACACTGATTTGGTTTTCTGCCACGACTGCCTCCATTTACATACTACTTCCACCACTAATATAGAAGCTAGCGGGAGGGTTGGATTATGTCACAAGCTAGTTTGCCTAATTTATAAAATTAATACATAATTTAATTTTACACATGGTATTTTAAAATGATCAGGTCATATTTATTATGATTAATCAAGTAATTTATTTTAATTTCATAATCTATCCAAATTAATTAAGTCGAGTGGGAGTAGAGCGAGTGTACTCACAAATCCTGTTCACCACAATATAATGTCCATGCCTCTGGTTTGAAGCTGTACCTCCTCCACAACTATCATGCAAAACAAACTTGCTAGCTAGGCTTTCCATTGCTTTTTCCCTTCAGGACACACCGTCCTAAAGCAACCTCTCTTCTATAGTCCTTCACCTTTTCTGTTCTTCAAAGGAACAACAGTTCCTCCCCCAGTTTGTTGTTGCCTGAGAAATTGATTCAGTAATTGACCATTAACAGTGATTGCCTGAGAAGATGTATTTTAATTAATTAGATTAGTCAAATTATAACATACACACTGCACACATGTTTGTCACTAAAGCAGGCGTTCTCAGAGTCAAACAAAATACAATTTCTAGATTTTTTTTGTTGGTCCAAAGCAAATTGGATTTCTATTTGATGAGTTTCTTTGGCTAGACTTTGCATGATCAGCGACTTTGATGACTAGGTTCACACTCCATGCATCTGTACCATATCTTCTTACGTCAAACAAGATCTTGGCCAAAACCTACTTTACGATTAATCTCAGGCTATATGCTGAATTTAATTCACTGGCAAACACATGCTTGTAATCTTTTGCCCCCCTCTATATCTAGAGATTTTCAAATGTATCAGCACTACAACTTTTCTGACCTTCCTCCGGTCAACGTCCGTAATTTACTCCAACTACACACGTAAACCAATATAAACTTTTTTAATTATACGAAGCTCCTAAACATGCTTTTAAAAGGCTAATTAACTTGTCACCACGCACAAAAGAAAAGTCGGGCAATCGCTGTAGACACCACATCAACTTTGATTTCAGAAATTTGAAACGATGTTCTAATTCTGCTGATGAGCCTTTCTTTACTTCTCTAATATCATCTTCCAAAACCAGAATAAAATGTTTTTTAAATTACTTTACTTTTGTAAATTGCCACTGTGGTCCAGGACAGTTCACGGATTAAGTAACCGGAGGCTAAGCGAATCACGCTTCTCTCTGTGAATGATCTGCCCAAAAACGATGGATAACCAACTGTATATAATCCAATTTGGCTCTATACGGTAATTTGAGTAACCTTTTTCTTGGGGCGCTTTTGGAGAATTTGTAAAGTCTGGGGATGTTGTGCTGTATTAATTTATTTATTCCCATGATATGTATAATACGTACAGTATTCACAATCACGCCTCATTCATAATTTGATGGGCCATGATTGTATGTATTTTCTTTTAGAGAGATCTCATATTAAAGTACAACCGTATCTCTTTTTGCTGATTGCCTGGCTGGACCATTCGTTCATTGTATCCAGTTCTTTTACCTAATTTAATTTAATTAATTAATTATTCCCTCCACACATCATCAGCAGTTATCTCGAATTGGTTACACCCGCTTCCCTATACTGAGTTCTTTGTTAATGTTGTTTTGAAATCATAGAATATATGAAACATACCCTCATGCCGCCACGTGGAAGCAAACAGATTTAAACCTGAAAATCAGGGCTTATGTTAATGAATCAGCCCTTTTTTTTCCGAAGCTGTGCACTTGATTGATGAGATCAAGTTTCTCCTTCTTTATTTTTCGTTTTTTCGCCGAAAAGCAAGCACTGACAATGAACGATATATTACAATTTAAAAAAAAAAAAAAGTGGCGTCTGGGTATTATTAATATTGTTGGTCTCTGCATGAAATCGTAAATACGTGTAGGTCAGCTAATTTTAAATGAGCTGCGTCGTCTGATGTATTCCCTTCAGGTCACGTTATTCATTCTGGAGGAGAAGGTAAGGGATGGGATATTATTTTGGATATTTTCGTGACACTTTTGATATAAAAGTCAAATAATAAAATATATGGCACTAAGCTGTGGTACTAA